CCCTCGCCTGGGCGCGAGCCTCCGCGGGGCCGCCGTCGAGCGGGTTTGCGCGGCCGCCTCGCCTCCTCGCGGGGGCGCCGGGGGGGCCCTGACGGCGTCGCGCCGCGGAAGCGAGGAAGGACACGGCGGAAGTGGTCGAGCCAGTTTCGGCCTCGGGGGGAGGGGGGGGGCCTCGGGACCGCGGGGCCAGCAAGGAACGGGTCGGGAGGAGAAGCGGACCTCCGGGGAGACGTCCAGGCCTCTGGGAAGCCGAGGTTGTGAAGAAGGCGCGACGTCGGATGGCCGGGGATGGGGATGGGGGGTTCAGGGGGGGTCTATCATGGCCAGGGCCACGAAATCTCCTCCATGCCATGTCCCTTTGCTTCGTTCAATGCGCCCATGGCCTCACCTCGTTCGCGGGTCATCGTGCGCTAACCCGCCTGTTCTTGGCACCCTTCTTCGGCACATCCGAGTCCTTGCCGTCCGAGGTTCGTTACTTTGCATCTCCAGGGGGATCGAAATATTTCTCTTTGCTCCGACGCGGATTCGACGTAGATTCGACACGGATTCGACACGGATTCGACGCGTCCGACATAGACTCGACATGGACGCGGTGCGGATGGTTGCCGCGAGACAGACGAGGTCCCCCAAAGTTGTAACAGAAGGTTCGCTTGATCGAGGTTCGTTCCCAGACTGCGGGATCTTCTGGGGGGTGTCATTGGGTCCCGGAGCCATCAAGTATGGATCCGTGCCGAAACAATAGTCCTGATAGACGGGGTCGAGATGTTTTGGGCCTGCGAGTTGAAACAACACGCCGTCAAATGTCTGGGTTAGATTTAGGTGTTTCGCGATTGGAGCTGTTTTCGGCACCCGCAGAGGCCTATGAAGGCTTTTCGGGTCGCCATGCGGAGCCAGGACTGGGATGAATCGCTCCAGCGGGTTCCAGAACGCTCTCAGGTTACCAGCCTGGAACATATCCCTATCCCTATGTTGGGCACCTCCTCATCACGATGCCAATCTTAGGGATTCCCTTTTTTTTGAGGGCGAATCCCTAAGATTGTCATCTCCTTTTGGCTTGTCAATTTTAGGGATAGGGATACGTTCGAGGCTGGTAATCAGGGCGTTCCAGAGCGCTTTGGAACGGCCGCGGCGCCTGATACATTTTCCAGGACCTCCAGATCTCAGTGATCCCCGATCTGCTCCGGTCCGACTTTGTCCTGGTCGTGGCTTCGTCTGTCCTCAGGAGTGTTTCAGGGATATTTGGTTTCTTTTCGACAGCGAGGACGAGGGTTTTCTCCCTCGCCTCGCCCTAAGCGCACCACCACCCATATGGCAACTCAGAGGCAACGTTAGGGGGGCGTAAGGATAGCCTCAGGAGGGGGTGCATCAACCCCGAGTCGCCCACTCGTCGCCGATAGGGTCCTGATAGCCCACCCCTGCCAAGGAACGTGCAGATTCGCTATCAGGGACCTTACGCCAGGCAGTCGGCGATCTATCGCCGATTCCAAGTCGATGTTTACCCCCCTGAGCCGGTCCCCACCTATCGGTCCCTCTCATTCCCAGAGCCAGGGATTGAGGGTGCATCGAGCAAGACGCCGAGAAAGAGTGGCACCATTGTTTCTTGCCATGGTGGTGTTGGTGCCGATGTTCCAACTTCCTCCCATCCCTCCCTCCTCCCCTCCCTTCCTCCTGACATCCCACCTCTCTCCTCCGACTCCCTCGTCCTATCAGGCAGCCGTGCTCATAGGATGAAGCCAATCGCTCCAGAGCGTCCTGTAGCGCTCTGGAACGACCGCGGCTCTGGATACATCTGGCAGATCTGTTGGCTCTCAGAGATCCCCGAGTTGTCCGTACCCGATGTTGTCCGTCTCCTCGTCTCACCACCCGCCTCCTCATCTGCCATTTCCGCCTCATAACTACGCTGTGGGGCGCCCAGGGATTGTGTCCTCCGACGGCCTCTGATGGTCTGCGCGGTTTTCTGCTGCACAGGGCATCCTTCGATTCGCCTGTCAGCTGCAGAAGGGGATCGAGCTCCCAGACTCCCTCCTCTCGAAGATCAGCATCAGCACAAACTTTTGGAGGTCCACGCGGTTTTCTGTCGTCGGCGATGGACCTCCCCTGGCAGCGCTCTCTCCTTCCGTGGCGTCGGCCACTCCAGGCAGTCTATCCTCTCCCTCTGGCCTTGGCTTTCTCGTCTGACGAAGTGCTCAATCGATCGACCCCCTCACCGTCGGCCACAAAAACGTCCAAGAATTCGATCCTCCTCTCCTCGCCTCCCGACGCCCCGCCAGGTGGCCGACTGCCCCGTGGGGATTCAGCGACGGCGCCCAGGGGGGCGCAGGGTTGGGCCAGGAGGATCGGCGGCCGACGCGGGTGCCACGGCCAGAGACTTTCCCTTTCGCAAGTTGCAGCAGCTCCTCGGAGGCTGAATTCTTCATCGGCCCCGGTGGTTCCTCGGTGCCACTCGCGCCTGATCCGTCTCAACCCTGCCGATGTAATATGGTTCAGTCTGGTCGCCCCC